TGTATATTTTAATTTTGTTTCCAGCCATTCTACTCACAAAATTATTTATATGTTCATCTTTTCACCTGGCTGCTGGGACACCACACTTTCTAGATTTTATTTCTACTTCAGTGATCATTCTTAACTGCTTCCACCCCTGGAAGCACTCACTCCCTGGGAGATGGAGTGAGGACCTCATCCCATCCAGGTCTAGGCAGTGAGTGAGCACTGTCTCTGCAGGATGGCGATGGTCAGAGTTGAGTCCTGGCCCAGAAAAGCCTGTGACTGGGTGGGTCAGTCTGGCCAACTTCCAAGAAGCCCATTTTTTTTAAGCCAAAGGTACATGCGCATGCCCCACCTTTAACAGAACGTAAGCTATGTGAAGGCAGCAGCTTCATTTTGTTCTCTACAGGACTTCTAGCCCCTAGAGCATGACTAGCACATAGTAGACATTCAACAAATATTTGTCATCAATATGAATGAATAAATAATAAAGTAATATTATGGCCCTCATCTGCCACTCCTTATTTCCTACTGTACTTAGAACACTAGCAGGGAGGAGAGAGACTTTATTGGTCCCTGTCAAAAACCTCAACTCCCTGGATATTCACAAGGGAATTCACATTGTTCAGTTCTCTCTTCAAATGTCACCTTCTCAGTAACCTTTCCTGTCCTATCTAAAACAGCACCATCACATTCTTTCTAATTGTTCTCTCAATAAATAATGTCTACTATGTTAGGGTATCGCTCTGTCACCCAGGCTGGAGTGCAGTGGTGTGATCCTAGCTCCTTGCAGCTTTGAACTCCTGGGCTCAAGCGATCCTCCTGCTTGGGCCTCCAAAAGTGCTGGGATTACAGTTGTGAGCCACCAGGCCTGACTTGAGTCTCATTTTCCTTATTGCTCTATAGCCCTCCTACCCTGCTGGACTTCATGACACTCAATACCACCTAAAATTACATTGTTTCTTGTTCATCTTCATCTTTCTCTCCCACCAGAACATGACCTCCTTATCAGCAGGACTTTGTCTTGTTTACTGCTGTATCTTAAATACACTGCCCAGTACATAATAGACACTCAATAAATACATATTGAATGATTAATTTTATGGTTTCTACCGACTAAGATGAAACTCAAAATCAAGCTCATTTTGTTGAAATGTATAAAACCACATTTTATTATACTGTGTATAAGACCACAGTATAAAACCACTGATAACTTTCTTCTCCCAACTTTTCCTATTGTCATTTCTTCAGTTAGTCCCTTCTGCCATCTTTAACAGGAATTAAAATGCCATTTTGTTATTTTTTTAAATGCTTTTTGCTCTGAAGGTAATTTGCTTAAATTGCTTCCATTTTCTATAGGCATTGATAGCTTGAAATTTTTTAATTGCTATAATCTACTTGTTAATAATTTTGTGATACAAAGTAACTCAATAGGTAGAAAGTGTTATTTTCAATATGCTAATGCTGCTTAACAGGATAATACCTATATACTAGCAAAAGGTTGGCAACTTGAAAATAGTCAATTTAATATTGATGTAATTTACTGGTTAAACTCATACTGCTTTTTTCTTTTTCTGGTGACACAGGGTTTTAGTTCAAAAGAGAAAACATCTAAACAACAATCTAAACAACAACAGAAAAATCCAACAAGAAACCTAAAAAGGCTGGGCATGGTGGCTCCTGTCTGTAATCCTAGCACTTTGGGAAGCCAAGGCGAGAAGATTGGTCAGGAGATCAAGACCAGCCTGAGCAAGAACGAGACATTTAGATGTAGTGGCAACTTCAGTTGACACTTGAATGAGGAGCAACCAGTTAGTGGAAGAACCAGAGGGAAAGCCTTCCACTAATGGGAACCTGGTGTAGAGTAGAATTAGTGGGGCAGTGAACAGTGAATTAGAATTAGATGATGCCTGAGAGGAAGAAGGGAATGGATTATGCAGAACATTTTAGGTTAGGGCAAGGTATTTGGATTTTATCCTAAGTACAATGGCGTTTTAAGAAGGGAACAAGGCAATCAGTTCTGCTTGAATCAATGCTTTGCATCAGGTGCATGGATCATAAGGAGACTGCACAAACCTGTACAGGGTGAAATGTCCCCAGCCAAAGACAAATTCTCATCACACTCCAAGTGGAGAAAAGGCTGCTGCAGAAACTTCTCTCCTCAGTGCTGAAGGAGACGATGCCCTGACAATGCCAACTCCTGCTAAGTCCTTGAGTTGAGAAAGATGTAGCCATGCAAAAACTGACAGCTCAAAATGAAGAAAAAGCTGAGGGGATGACGAACCCAGGTGGCAACTTGGAGGCACAAGCTCAGTTACACAGCTGCCCAGGTTTCTAAGGAAGCATTGCAACCACAGAAAACAGAACACAGCATTCTCCTCACCTCCAAGGGCCAGGAATTTCATCTTTTCTTAGTCAAAACCACTTCTACTGGAAACTTTTTATTGCACAGGGGAAAAACCACATTTAATTTTGCTTCAGTACCCATATTTGGTAGTGAAAGGTGGATTCTTTTATATATTAGTTTTCTATGGCTACTCTAACAAAGTACCACAAACTGGGTGGCTTAAGTAAGAGAAAGTCACTGTCTCAGTTCTGGAGGCTAGAAGTCCAAGATCATGGCATCAGCAGAGTTAGTTGGTCCTTTTGAGGGCTGTGAGGGACAATCTGGTCCATGCCTCTCTCCTTACTTCTTGTCATTTATTGGCAATCTTTAGATTCTTTGGCTTGTGGAAGCATCACCCCAGTCTTTGCCTTCATCTTCCCACGGCATTCTGTGTCTGTCCATATCTCCCCCTCTTCCTTCCTCTTTTTCAAGGACATCAGCCATATTGGATTAGGGCCCACCCTAATCACCTCACTTTAACTTGATTACATCTAGAAAGACCCTATCTCCAAATAAGGTCACATTCTAAGGTACAAAGGATTACTCCAACATACCTTTTTGGAGGGATACATTTCAAGCCCTAACACCTTAAACCACAAAGTTAAAGGTGAGATAGCTTCTAAACTCCAGGCTCAAAAGTATGTCAAATAAAAGATGCCAAGAATAATTTTCCCTTGATTATTTCATGTTTTGATTGTATTTCTTTGCCAAATAAAAAAATTTAAAGGTTACCTTATGATGAAATGACTTACCTTTATTAACTGACATATATAGGGAACTTATCCTTCAGCCAATGGCTAATTTTCATCTGCTTGTTAGATTAATTTTAGAGAGATTATAACAAATTAGAAATCTTCCACACTTCCTCTCCTAAAGTTTGAAAAAGACCATCTTTTTGGCTGTGTCCAAAATATATTTCTGTAGTTGATGAGACCTGGGAGAGGTTTTATACACCTTCTTCTTGACATGAAACACTTTTCCTTTAAAGTTCAAGGAATAAAGTTCACAAATGGGTTCTGGATGAATTTATCTTTTGCTCTGTATATAAAATAAATCTTAAAAGATTTCATCAGGTGGAAGTTATCTGCCACTAAAGAAATAAATGTACAGGCCAGGCGAGATGGCTCCCACCTGTAGTCCTAGCACTCTGGGAGGCTGAGGCCGGAAGATCGCTTGAGTTACAGACGAGCCTGAGCAAGAGGGAGACTATCTCTACCAAAAATATAAAAAATTAGCTGATGTGGTGGCGCATGCCTGTAGTCCCAGCTACTTGGGAGGATGAGGCAGGACGCCTTGAGCCCAGGAATTTGAGGTTGTGTTGAGCTGTGATGAGGCCACTGCACTCTACCAGGGGTGTCAGAGACTCTGTCTCAAAAAACAAAAAAAAGTACAAAACATGGGTCACCACTTCATTGTATCAAAATCAGATTCAATAATAGTGAATAAAATGAAACTGTAATTGAAAAGTGAAGAAAGTAAAGTCTAACAATAAATGTTTGTGTTGTGCCAAGCCTGGTTGCTTGGCACATTTCCATGTTTTTTTAAAGTTAATGACAGCGATGCCTTCTACTGCCTAATATCCATTCCAGTAATTCACTGTCTCTAGACCTAGGTTATCTTTTCCTTACAAATTGCTTTTCTCGTTTAACAAATCTTTACCTGAACTTATTTTCCAATGATTTTCATTCTGAATGTGGCCTCAACTCTCAAAACTCCATGAGTTACTTTTATCAGTGTGGACAGAAATCTGACAATTTCTTATGAATCTTATTCTTCCTAAAGTTTTCAAGCATAATTTAAAGGTCATCTGTTTACTAGGCATCAAAAAAACCTTGCTATTTGGCCAGAATTATTTCCTTTAGCTCATAAGGTCCTGAAGCTATTTTACATGAAAAAAAGCAAATACAAATAGTGCTATGTCAGGCACCTTTCTAAGGGCTCTACAGATAATAGTCTAACACTTACAGGCACTCTTAATACAAATGACAGATGAGGCAATGAAGACATAGAAGAAAGTAACTTGTCTACGGCTAATACACAGTAATGTTGGAACTGGAATTCAAAGCAGAGTTTTGGGGCTTCAGAATCTGTGCTCTCAATCTTACATGTCGTACTTGGTATTGGAATAACACAAGAAAATGTTTTTTTAAATTTTATGAAAGACAAAGCAAATACAGAAATTCAAACTTGCATTTAAGCAGCCACCATGAATGAATTATGCTTTCACCTATGTAAAAGTTACTTTATACAAAGCTTTAAGAAACATATATATTGTGTAGTTACATCAATTTTTTTCAAATCCAAAGAACAAGGACATAGCTCAGATTTATTTAAATAAGCCTTAAAATCAGAATTAAATTGACAAATGAAGTCATGTATTTAAAAGTGTTATTTTACATCCATTTTGGATATATTTATCACAAACTAAAAAAGTAGAAGCATAACATTTGCCAGTATTTTCAAAAACCATGTCCAGATACAAATTAGTTTGAAAGTTCTTGAAAATTAATGATTAAGCAAGTCATTTGTTTTTTCCCACTATTTAACCATACAACCTTTTGAAGAAACACTAGTGAATTTTAGACAATAAAAACTATAAAACCAGACTGTTGGCAGAGGAGACAATAAAATGTAAGTTAGAAAATTCATAAACATACATTTATTCAGGAAATGCAATTACTAGAACCCTTGATATTTCAATGATCATTCCACATTATAAAATATTCACAACATGTATTCTTTTAAGTCTACAGCAAGGCATGCTGACATTCTTTTCAGATAAGCCATAACCATTTCTTCTATTAAATGTTATAATATCCATTTCAATTGTAAACAAAGTTCTTGGGCCAAATTATTTAAGTACTTCAGCAAGAAAAAAGCTTAGAAGAGGAGGACAATGATTTAAAAAAACAAAACAAAACACATTCATCAAATCCCAAAGAACTAGGCTGCTATAATCTAGTATTATACTAATGAATAAAGCGGCCACATTAGGATAGCACATAATTATTAACGACAGTATTTCTCATATGCAATTTTTAAACATGCTTTCTCAAATAACATTTTTTTTGCAAGTTTTACATTTAAACTTCTAGTAGATATATTTTTTTAAAAAGGTAGACTGTAATTATTTCCCAAATAAGGTATGTCAAGTACCTTTTATTCCTAAAGAAATTACTAAGACATATAATCACTCATTAAGCACCTATAATTTAAATTATTCTATTCTGACATTTCCGAAGAGTCCAGTGTAATCAGATCATTTTATAATGGGGAAAACTAGAGGTTCTCACCCCTGGGTATCCACTAGAAGACTTGGAAAGCTTTGGTGGAAAAAATGAGTGATTCTGATTTAGTTGCTATGGGATGAGACTCGGGTAACAGTACTTTTTAAAGTTCTCTGGGATATTCCAATACACAGCTAAGGCTGAGAACCACTAAGTCAACCCATTTTGAAATACCAAGAAAATAAATAGAAATTGTTTATAATTTATAAGTCAAATACCTATTATATACTTACTGTGTGTGCCTAATTTTATTCATGAATCATCCATTCATAAGATGAAAATTCCCTTCATTTTCTCACTATACTGGGCCATTACTATACATCTTTGCCACTGAATGAGTGAATTTTTTTATGGTCAAGATTCAAAATTCTGGGATACACCATAAAAACTGTAGTAATGAAAACAAACTACTGCTATTCATGCTCAACAGTAGCAAGCAAACTACTGTATTTGGCTCCTTAAACTATCCTTATTTTAAGAATTATAAATAGGTGCCAACTCACACAAAGAACAGATTGTGGATTAGTGTAGAAGAAAAAAAATAGCTTACTCAACTTACTAAATTGCAACACCAAAAAAGACTTAATTTGGCTGAAAGTTCTGAAACAGCTGAGACACCAAACCAGGAAGCTATAATTTATAATGAAATGCTGATACGTCCTTAAAAGCTACTGCAGCTGTAGCTATATTAAAACAAGATTTCTTTAGGGTTTACTTACCCTGTAATGCAAGAATACTAGCATAACAATAATATTACTATTTGTATATGCACCAATAACTCTCTTTAATATATAAAGCTCTACAACAAATACCTCTAATAATTATACAATTAAATTAAAATAAGTCCATACCTCTTCTATACTACTTTGGTCTCAACATTTTAAAAACATCAATTGATTTTGAAAATACACAATTTAACAACATGATCCTATCAATAACAAGCACATTTTGTAGTGGATTAAAGACACATTCAACCATGCAATCCAGTGTTCAATACCTAAATGATAAATAACTATGCTGATTGACTTTTATTCTGAAAAATCATTGAAAACTGGAATAATCTTCTAAGACTCACGATGCTCACAAACATGCAGAAGAAAGTATACATTTCTATTCTTCCTGAAGGAATATGACAAAATGTCCACTATTTTACACAGGGTCAATAATAATGCCAAATTCCTTATATATTTCAACCATTATCTTCTTTTTAGTATCTGTCACTTCATTTTTTTTTTTGTTAAGTACAATGTTCCTGTAAGTTGTAACTGAAAATGAACCTCAACTCTAATTTCAGCCTTTTGGAAGACCTCAGTCCCAGTCATACACTAATAGCTGCCTTTTAGTAAAACAGTGACATCCAGTGGACAAATGAAGTATCTCTCAAAATTCCATCATTATTTGAAACAAAGACCGAGTCTATAAATTCAACCATTTTAACATGAGTTCTTACTAATTTTGACAGAATCTACAGATTCTTATGGATACTCATCTCATAATTTCTATATATCTTAAATATATCTTATCTTCCTATTTAAAATTAATTCTTTAAATTGAGCTAGTAAGGATATGTAACTCTTGAGACTAGTGAGGGTTAAAGGTATTCCTTTTTCTTCCTTGCTTCTATTTCCCACCACAAAATAACTAGTTCATCTCTAGGAATGGAAGGACCAAAACATAAGAAATACTGTATATTTAAATAAAAATGAATAACATTGAAAAATTTCCAAAAGATGAAATCTGACCCTGTTTTATATGTATAATTAATGACATAATGAATATAAATAGAAAGGGATGTAATGCTAACAAATTACGTCCTCTTGCCACAATGCTCAAATATTAAGAATACATATTTTAGCAATGATTGTTTCAGTGTTTAAAAACTTACTTTTATAAATCAGTATAAATGAATAGCCATTAAACATTATGTTTAAAAGTAAAAAACCTCCACTGTGCTGAGTTACGATTTACCAATGATTATGTATATGTGTTCAAAGTACAAAATGCAGCAGTGATGTTAACATTGACAATGTAATGAACTGCTGTAGCTGAGACTGTTACGTCAAATTTCTTGGAAAACTGTAAAGAAATTTCATGGGTTAAAAAAAATCGACTAAGCCAAAAAAAAAATCAAAAAACAAAAAACTAGAGAACTGTTACTTTTAAATAAGCAGCCAAATGAAGAAAACTTTTTTTTTCTAAAAAAAGATTAAGAATGTAAAAGTACATTTTAATATTAAAAAAGCATCTTAAAAAATCTATAACAAGTTTATGACAAAATCTGTATTTGAAAAAGGCCTGTAAAAACAGCAGGACAGAATTGCCCTCATCACCTATTACTTTTTCTCATCAGAAAAAAGTGTATGCATCTCTGGAACCATAAATGATGTTAAAATAGGCATTTATAAAATGGTAAGGAGAATTTCATGGGAAGTTTCTGTTTTTTTTACAATCATTGGCATTGCGGCCAGCAGGTCACAAGTAAAACTTCTCTAGCTGCTAAAAAGCAAAATGGAATATTAAGTTTTGAACTGTATTAGGTCTGTTGCCTGCGTTTCGCTGATCTCATTTTTTCAAAGCGTGACTCCATTTCTTCCAAGACTTTAGGTGTATATCGAACAACTAATTTAACCTTTCCTTGAGCGGCTTTCAGCAGTTCTACAGCTTTTTCATGATGTTCTCCTTCCACGCTCTAGAAAAAAAACACACAGTAACTAGGTTTTAAAAGTAACTCAAAATGCAAAAATACATATAAGTAAAAAAAATTTAATATTTCAACAGTATAAAACTAAGAAATAATCCTGCTTATCATTTTAGTCATTGTGAAATCCTCTGCTACATCATATTGTTCAGTCTGAAATTGGTTTTAAGATCTAAATAATGAGCACGTCAATCTATATGTCCTATTATTTTACTAAGTCAGAAACACATAAAGCAATTGTCATTCTAGAAAAGTAAAACCAGGGCAGATTTCTAATTTAATGTATTACCTTAACTACTAAAGAGCTTACTTATGTCATCAAAAAAACATAGTAAGCACTGAGCATTGCTACTTTACATGGGAAAGAAGCAAAACACACTTAAAAATGCTTGTTTTGTTTGTTTGTTTAAGAGACAGGGTCTTGCTCTGTTGGCCAGGGGCTGGAGTTCAGCGGCATGATCATAGTTCATTGATAGTTCACTATAACCTTGAACTCCTGGAATCAAGCTTCCACCTCAGCCTCTCGAGTAACCAGGACTACAGCTGTACACCACCACACCCAGCTAATTTTTAAAAAAATATTTTGTAGAGACGGGGGTCTCACTATGTTGCCCAGACTGGTCTTGAACTCTTGAACTCCTGGCCTCAATTGATCCTCCTGCTTTGGCCTTCTGAACTACTGGGATGAGCCATCATACTCAGCTTTAAAATACTTTAAAAAAAAAAAAGGATTACTGTACTAAATACTACTGCCTAAGATTCCTTTAGAGGATTTCCAAACTAGTTTCTTAGATTTTTCCCCTACATCTTGTTTCTGTAGCTCAAATATGCCCACAAGTGGTCATAACACATTACTACAAATAGAAATAAAATTCATCCTTACCACTCCATTAACAGAAAGGAGTTGATCTCCTCGTTTGAGTCCCCCGTGTCTATCAGCAATTCCACCTGGAATTATTCGAGATATATATATTGGAGAGTTTTGTTCTTTGCCTCCCATAATATTGAAACCAAGGCCTTCTTCCGTTTTTGGTAGCTCAACAACTCGAGGATGAGAATGTCCTTCACTGGCTGCAAATGCAGCAACAGTAGCCTGAAAGAAAATTTTATGCACTTAAAAACATGACCTTTGATACTTCAGTTGTCTCTTTATAAAAATTACTTTTGAGACACATATTTTTGATGTTTGAATGTCTGCAAATTCATTGGTATTAGTTCTGAGAAGGTAAGTTAAGCAGGTTTTTAAAGAGATGACAAATGAGTAAATACTCTGAGATTATGTAAGAAATATCACGATTTTTCAGGTCACACCTAGCCCATCCAGTGCCTAGTCTTTTGCAAAGTCCCATGTGTACAGGGGTCGGCAAGCAGGCTTGCTGAGCAGATGAACCCCTCCTCCAGTACGCCAGCAGCTCTGAGATTCAGGTCCAGACAGCCCAGGTCTTTCGGGGGCCCTTGTGCAGGACAAAACCTACCTACATAATCCACATAGAGGTACACTTATATGTAGTCATTTTGGCTACTATGCTAATTGTACTATATACTAAATTACTAAAATGGCGGGAAACTCAATATTGAGAAAAAGAATGGTATATATAGCCAACCCGAATTTTTGTTGTTTCCGCTATCTAATTACAACTAAAAAGCCCCACAGAAGATGAAACAGAGCCATATCTTTTTTAAAGCTCAAGTTTAGAATAATCTAGACTAAATTCTAAAGTTGGAATATTTTGTTTCATTTTGCTTTTAAAGGTAATTAAGTAATCTGGTACCATTTTTTTTTAATGGATCAAGATGTATAAGCAAAAATGGGAGGAGGGAGAAAGGAAATCAAGATTTGTTGAATACTCAATTATCTTCAAAGCTCTGAGAAAGGCCTCATTTTTCAGATAATGGAACTAAAGCTCAGAAATTCAGTAAACTGTGTAGGTCATATAACTCAGGAATTAAAACTAAGTTTATGGCCTTTTCTACTCTGATAAACTATACTCATATGTTTAAGTGTTTGTATTAAACAGAGAATCCAGTATTTTCCTTTGTGAGTCAATAACTATCAATGAAAAATTATCTGCCAATGACTAATTCTTGTACAAGTCACCTACTGCTGATATTAACTTATGCTAACCACATGACAGACATTGAAGTCAATGCCTGAATTACTTGAGGAAAACACTGGCATAGAAATGCACATAAATCTGCCATCTGCAGCTCTGAAGAGGTAATCTACCACTGGCATTATACCAGATTTGCAGAGTTAAGGTAAAGGAGACAGTAAAGAACAACGTGGGGGAGTACTCTAGCCCTACCATTCACTATTTGAATGGTTTGAGGCAAGTAGCCTTATTGTGATGCTTCCTCATTAATAAAGATAATAATTCATATTTCAGAATTTGATGAAAATTCACACATTATGTATATAATATGTATAAGGTATACAACACAATTATGTATTGCATCATCTGTATGTGTAAGCAAATATACTTTCGATATATTATCTAAACTGCATAAAATATCTTATGCAGAGCCAATGAAAAAAATGTCCTGTTTCTTAGTACTTGAGAAGTTTATTGTAGTTTGAAAGATACACACTAGTTTTCAAAATAAGCTTATTATAAATCTAATAATTGCATATTTTTAAACCTCTAAATTTATGAATCACTCTCACTTTTAGTAAATAAAAAACCGTACCTTTGCAGTTGCATTAGCTCTCACTTCAGGACTGCTACTGATGTCCACAGTCTCATAGACGTGTTCATACACCTGTAAATCCCAGAGTTATCATACTTTAAATCTCAGAATACATCACATTTGAGTTCTTTGTGAAGTTAATATGTTAAAATTTTAGGCAAAGTTACATACCTTTGTAAAATGTTTTTACATTACAATTCCAAAAATGAGAGGGATAAGTTCTAATGTTTTCTAAAATTTATTTTCTTAAATTCTGAACCCAAATTTGATAGTATTATCTTACCTAATTAACTCAGATTTTTAGTAAATCACATTTACTCACCTCTCTCACAGCATTGCAGAACTCACTCTGAAGGACTCTTTGCAAAGCCTGAAGTTTCTGCGGTGGTACCTCTCCACTCCTTTGCAGTTTTTCCAACAATTCAATTGCTCTACAAATATCTAGAATTAAACACACACACAGCCTGATAGATAATTTTCTCTGAGGATTCTCTCAATGCCTATGTAATGGTGTAGCAGTTAAGATTCACCTCTCAAACACTAACAAGAAATATGTAGAAGACAGAAGGGAAAAAAAAGTATGCATGTGCACAGGTAGGGGAAGAGATTATAAATGTGTACAAACATGGACGGTGGGAATGTAAAATATAACAATAACTTTTGTAGATTAGGAAAAAATACTAATGTTGCAGAAATATAAAATCTGGAAAACGGCATCTCTGAGAAAATATAAAAAGTGAATACAAAACACCAAATGCCACAAGAAAGCACCAGGGCTCAAACGTGATTTACACATCAACATTAATTATACTGCTTCTGAAAAGTTGACAGTATTACCAGAAACTATTTAGTCAAAAAAATTTACCTAATTATCAGTATTAGTAATGAAAGCACTTAACAGTACAAAATGAGTGAAATCACTGTTCAGTTCCTGAAGGAAACATGATACATATGTAGATATGAAGTGTTCAACAACAGATACAGTAAGTGGTAGGGACGCATGTAAAACAACAGTACAAATGAATAAGATGAAATAAATTAACTGGTTTGTTTTCAACTTAGCATCATTAACACAGTGATTTAATTCAGACAAGTTCAATCCTATACACAGGTTTACAAAATAGAAAAATAAAAACAATTAGCTTTGTCAAGTTGGTCTTAATACTACCTGAGTGACCTTGGGTAAGTTATTTAACCTCCTTTGTCTCAGTTTCTTTCACTGTAAAATGGAAATAACAGTACTTTCTTCATGAAAGTGAGGAAGTTATAAGTTCAGTTGATGACTGAAACAAACAATATATAAGAAAGGGTCTAGCAAACATAAATATGTTACACAGGCATTAATCAAAAAAATATTAAGGAGTTATATACATTTATACAAATACATGAAGCATGTTAGACAATTCTTATGGGCAAGTGTGAGGATACGTGCTTTATGAATTAAGAAATTTCAGAAGATTCAGGGTTATGTTATAACACTGTTAATGACTATCTATACTTTAGTTGTTTTTTTTTTTTTTTTTCAAAAACTGTTTTTGTACATTTTTTGCGCTCCAGGGGCTAGAATACCTACTATTCTATTTCTTTACCGCTTTTTGACTTAAGTGGAAGAAGTTCCTAACTTCATGTTAAACTAAAGGACTGGAAATTTTTCTTTATAGAATTAGTATGCTCTTCTTTGTATTTGCAGATGGAAAACTACGAATAAATGTAGTAAAGAAAGCAAGCAGATTTTTCAATTTCAGGAAAAAAAAGCTTAAACTGATGTTAATCAAATACAATGGAAATAGGCATTCCTCATTCTTATTTCCCACCACCCAAATGGCTAATAAATGAAGACTATCTGTCCATCAATTATTTTGATTTATAAAAGTTACAACATGTAAGCCATATAAAAATTTCCAATTAACAAAAATATTGAAAAAAGTAAATACTCTTTACTAAATATAAACTGTACCTAATATGTGCTCAAATTGTGTTCCATTCAATGTTTTTAGGATTTAGAAGATACTCTAAATCATGTGCATGTGATCTTGAGATGTACTAATTTTGCACTTAGGATTGTTGGGAGCATTTGTTAATAGAATCTCTCGGAATTCTAAATAAGAATCAGAGTTGCTGTAATCTGACTTTCTTACCCTGCTAAATGGCAATCTCAGTATTCTTGGGGGAATGGTTCCAGGACCTCCCTTTTATACTATGGGATACCAAAATCTGCAGATTCTCAAGTCCCTGATATAAAGTGACATGTAATCTATGCACATCCCTCCACATACTTTACTCATCTCTAGTATTACTTACAATACTTAATACAGTGTAAATTCTATGTAAATAGTTGTTATACTGCATTGTTTAGGGAATATGACAAGGAAAAAAAGTCTATACATGTTCAATACAGATGCAAGTTTTTTCCTCTGAAAATTTTCGATCTGCAGTTGGCTGAATCTATGAATGTGGAACCCATTTATATGGGGGGCCAATTGTAATTCATCCTATTAAAGGACTAAGCATTCTATTGTAGAACTGAAAAGAACTCTGAAACAGCAAAATACAAAGCCATGACTACCAAAACTAAATGCTAGAAGTGACGTTCCACATTCTGTGCTGCACTTAAAAATACAAGAGACCATCAACATGTTAGATCCTACAACTAGCTTTCCAGGAAAAACATCTACTCTTAACAGTGAACAGATTTGTTCTCATCTATAAAGCACAGTGCCTTTGTGCTCAAGAGAAAGATGTCATTCTTAGGCCCACCTTAGCAAGTCTTCCTAGAGTAACTACTCCTGTGTGATAAAATGCTGCTTTAATTAATGGCCTGGTACGATGAAGGGAGACAATCTCATTTATAAAGAGGCTTCCAAATGAACACCATAAGGAACAAATTAACAATGTTAAGTGCACATTTGTTTGTGAAAAGGCATGAGGAAAGAGGTTTCTAAGCACAATAATTCTAAAAATGTATTTCCTTCTTAGAGAAGGATATTAATATTCAAACTTTAACTAAAATGTTATTATGTGCAATATAATTTCAATCTCCATCCTATACTTTGTTTACCACTAGTACTCAAAATGTTTGCTTGTACTTCTTGACTCCTACTTAGGACTTATAATGCTGATGTGTTAAAAGCATGCTTGAAATTGTCTGAAATAAAGGAATTGAGGAGGATAGAATGGAATGTCAGAAATCTGTAACAATCTGTGACAGGACCCTGGAAGGGGCATAGCCAGATATTTTTACAGGCTTGTCGCTAATTACTCAGCAGAACAGGTTTTATTTTCCTTCACAGTCTGCTCTAAGAAGCAATTAACCAACCACAGTTTGCGATTATAGGGTTTGTAAAGAATGAATAACACTGCACCTGCAAGTGTTTTACAATCTACCACTATTCAGCCTGCTTGCATAACCTACTTCCCAAGACTAAATCAGCAGGACTGTTTGCTTTTAAAGCACCCTCTCCATTCCTGGGAAGAGCACCAAAGGTAGCAAATACCCCAACCCAAATACAAATGAGATTGTGGTGAAAGTAATGAAGGAGTTTGTGTGTAAACAAGGACAGAATGGGGGGGAGGGGTCTGTGGAAATGCACTGCGTCTCTGGGAAGTGGGTGACAGCCGGTGAAGTCGGAGACACTGGGTTTGTGAGTGCGTTTGTACAGGCAATGAGTGTAGTCTGTCCGAACTGGGTGTGTGACGTCTGCTTCTCGGGTTTACAGATCTCTGAATGCCGCGTCTGCTGTGCCCACGCAGAAAGCGTGTGTGCGGCGTTACGTCTGCGAACCCGGGCAGGTTGTGTTTAGTTGGGCTATGCCCCAGGACAGTCCGTGTGAACAGACTGGGGCTCTGGGTATCAATCAAAAAACCGTAAACGCCCTCCCTAGAGCAAGGCTCAGCGACGTCGGCGATCTCTGGCGCCAGCGCAAGGGACAGCCTGGCTCCAGACCTCGGAGCCTGGGCCACCCCTGTTCCCCTCCAGCGACATGTTACTCCCCCAACCCCTCCACCCACCTCAGTCCGAGCCTCGGCCGCACTCACCCCGCTCCAGCCGCACAGGCTCCCCCAGCGCCGCCATCTTCTCCCTTAGCCTGCAGACCCACAGGAAATGACGACAGAGGGGCTGCGGTGGAGGGGCGGGGCCCAGCGGGAGCCGGAAAGGTGAGGACCGGCCAGTATCGCGAGAGCGGGAGAGAACACTGGGAATCTCGCAGGCGCCCCCAGCGTTGAGGGTACCTGGATGTGAGGCTTTGAAGGTTAACCTTGCTCAGTTTCTTCAGTGGGGGGGAAGTTCTCTCCTTCCCCGGCCTTATAAGGCTGAAAAAAGCTGCTTTCCCGACTCTTGCTCCCTGCCTTGAGCTTTACGCGTTATCCCGCCCGCTTGGAACCCTTGACTGCACGTAGAATCCGATAGTCTGGATTCCAGTCCCAGCTTGACCATTGGCAGCTCTATGACTGTGGACTACTCACTTACCCTCCCTGGGCCTCAGTTTCCCCATCTGTGCGACGGGAGGTCTTATCTCCGAGGTCCTTCTAGTTCTTAAACTCTGAGATTCGGTGGCAAGCGTGTAAATGACGTATTGTAAATTGTCCTTTTGTGGCAGCGTTGCTTTAATTTTAAAAATCCTAGGCTTGAATCTTTCCTTCTTTCTCTGAGACTAAGGGTTGAAAGTACAAACAGCGTGAAACGTACCTGGGTGAGGGACAGAAGGAAGCACTTCGGTGCACCACAAAGTATAATTTTAGGAAGCCGATTTGAAATCTTAGTGTAAATGAAATGTTATGGAGTAAAAGATATTCTTAATGCACTATGGTTTCTTAGGGCCACTTTTGAAAATTTCATGAACCAAGAAAAATTTTAGTATTTGAATTCGACTAATATTTATCCAAGCCCTTAGTCTGTGTTGATATTGTTTCAGGTGCTTCCACAACCCAGATTTTAACACTTCATGACAGGGTTGTTTTAATAACCTCCTGGTTGTCTCTAGACCACTCTTTCCATTCAACTTTAATATTTTCTTCTGCTAATCCATCATGAATGTCACCAGTGTGCTTTTCCACCTCTTGGACCCTGATTTCATCATAATAAGTCTGTTCAGAAACTTTGAATGGTTTCTCTCTCTCTTTCCTATTTCTACCAAAAATAGAAAAATTAGCCAGGCGTGGTGGCGGGCACATGTAGTCTCCACTACTTGGGAGGCTGAAGCAGGAGGTTTGCTAGAGCCCAGGAGTTTGAGGTTGCTGTGAACTAGGCTGATGCCATGCACTGTAGCCCAGGTGACAGAGCAAGACTTTGTCTCAAAAAAAAAAAGCCAAAAAACAAAAAAACAAATCTGCACATGAAAATGAATTGACTATATATAAAAATATAGTAATTAATATAAATATTTATTTAAATACAGATTCCTTTGAACTTCATAGACCCTTCCTTCCTTCCTCCTCTCCCTCTCCCTCTCCCTCTCCCTCTCCCTCTCCCTCTCCCTCTCCTCCCCTCCCCTCCCCTCCCCTCTCCTCTCCTCAGAATCTCCCTCTGTCATCCTTGCTAGAGTGCAGTGGCATCATCATAGCTCATTGCAACCTCAAATGCCTGGACTCCTCCTGCCTCAGCCTCCCAAGTAGCTGGGACTACAGGTATGCACCACCACGCCTACCTAATTTTTCTATTTTTGGTATAGATGGGGTCTTACTCTTGCTCAGGCTGGTCTCAAACTCTTGACCTCAAGCAGTCCTCTGGTCTTGGCCTCCCAGAGTGCTGGGATTATAAGTGTGAGCCACTGAGCCCAGCTCTTCATAGACTTAATAAATTAGAATCTTTCGGGAAAGATTCTGGGAATCTACATTTCAAAAACTCTCCAGTGGTTCTCATGAAGCTAGCCTGATCCAGAGACCTGTGTTTGGGGTTCAAAAGATTATTTCTATGGCTTTATCCAACTAAAATTCTGTTTCTTTATGAAATTGCAGAGGCAAATTACTGAGAGAATTATTTCCATTATAAAAGAATATCTTGCATTAAGGGCAACATTTCTAGCTGATTTTAAAATTAAATTTATATTATTTGAGGCATAGGAAAGGAATAAAAAAGTTTTGCAAGTTACTTCTGAGAGGGGAAAACATTCAAATTAACAACCCATTTGTATTCAACATACAAGTAAGTTAAAAAATAGCTATTGTGTAAAGAGAAAGCCTCAAAATGTTTCTCCCTAATTGATAAATTCTAGAGTATTGTTGTTGAGAGAGACCTAGAGAGACCAACTCCACTTTACAGGGGAAAAGATGGATTGGTGTCCTATATCTCAAAGGAGGCAATTATGAGCGTGAACCAGGGAGAGCTGCTTTTACTTTTATGTCTCTGCCGGTTTATTAAATCACCAGACTCCTAATCAAGAATTGCTCTTCCTGTGGAAGAACTCTTCTTCACCTATTGCTTCTTCATATTACTTCCTGCTTCAGAAATGAAGAGGAGCTTTAAAATTAGAATAGGAAGTCTGAGTCTAGACAAATCCCAGTGAAAGCTAAATTATGCAAATTTAGTCTTTATAACAAATGAGTCCTAAATAGGCTGCCAAAGTATGAAAGCTTTCTTAACCCCAGGCATTGCAAATACAACATATTATACTAAGACAGCATCAATAAAAAGAAAAAGGGAATGGGTGGGGAAAGTTAGAAATAGAAGATTGTCTAGAGAGAAGCTAGGAAATGGAAAATAATATAAAGCAGGATGTTCCAAGTGAAATGTTTTACTATTTTATTGCCTCTTGAACCATACACAAATAGAGACTGTTATATGAAATAGATATTTAAAACAATTATGTGTTATTGCAGAGTAGAACATTGCTCTTAACTAAAGGAGTCTATTTAGGTTTCTAACAGTACAATTAAAGTCTCAATCTTTTTTTTTTCCCCAACAGGGCTTCTATAACATACTCCTCAGAAAAGTAAAATTTAAATAAATGGCTTCCTTTATTTGAGACGAATGGTATTGTCAAATGTAAAATAGCCTGCATTTTAAATGAATTAAATAATATATATATTTTTAAATTTAAAAAACCAAATAAAGAGAGCAAAAAACAATATATAAAAATAGTCTATGGTCAATTAAATATAAAAATATGAGAAAATACCTTTATGAACACATTTTGAAGGGAAATTTCATCATAGATCTCAGATCAGAACATAAAACCCCATTTTGAGAGTTTCACAAATCTAAAGTAAACCCTACTTTTCCTTGTTAGGATGAGTTGCAGATTATATTAAAGTGCAAGAGTTGACTTTTTTAATGTCAATTGTTTCATCATCATTCTATGGTACATGTAAAGGCACAGATTGATGTATTTTTCTGGCATCTTCCTGACGCACCCTTGCCCTAAATAAATCTGTTTGCCAGGATCTTGTCGCTTAAATTAGCCATCTCAAACTCTTGGTCCTGCCAACACAGGCAATTGTGCCAATGTTCTCAGCATCTACTGGCACATGAGCTGTTGCCTTTTTCTTTGGCTTTCCACGTGTACCTGGGGCCATCATCCTTCCTTCACAAGACAGCAGCCTGGCTTAGTGGTCCCAGAGAAAGACTTCAGGATTGGTTGGACTCACTCTGGTTCTCTCCAGGGTGTGCATTCTGCACGATGTATTTTCAGCCACACAATGTATTGTTTAGAATTTGTCGTGCACATACTTGCAGATTGGCAGAGCCACCTGCCAAAGATGAGAACCTTTTAAGTTGTTGTCAAACGTCATAAAATGTGTTCCATGATTAATTTTGTGGGCACAGATTGGTTTTTGCAAGGAGTCCAAAATTTGGGATATGTCAGAGTGACTAAATGGCACCGGCATGCTGAATGAATTTGGAATTTGTTTTGTCAAGTGTGGGAGCAGGCACACAGATGGGCTTTGATCCAGTGGTGCTGCTTGGAATTCTCATTATAGCAATGATGTCACTTGTCACGTGGAGTGGGTGATAATGCTGCCAGATTGTAGAAAAAGCAAGGCAAATAAGAAGGTACACAGGCCAAGAGAAAGGGTTTTGGTAGCATAGGAAGCTTTCATTATTCAATGACTTCTTAATGGACATAAATATTGTTTCAGGACTGCCAAAAATATGCATGGTAAAAATACAGGCAGAGAAGAAAACTTCCAACTGAAAGGGCTCTTTAAGAAGGGCCCATACAATCTAGGAGTCTTCTCAGAGAAGATCAAGTATAACAAATATATCCTTGATTTTTAGATTAAGCTATGAAAGAAATCTTTGAGCTGCAAGCAAGAGTCTTTCTGCAATATCTAGTCAAACCCAAGCCAAGGCATTTTGCTTTATAAAAAAGCTTTATGTATTCAGAAGGTTAGCAACCATGCTGGAAAATGGAAAAAAAAAAAAAAAAAAAACCTTTATAATGCCAAAAAAATACAGTATATTCTCACCAAGTATGTGCATCAGAATTCTCTGTGGGGCTTTAAAAATATATTCATTATGCAGCTAAGGTGGTGCTTAGAGGGAAATTTATAGCTATAAGTGTCGATGTTATAAAAGAAGAAAAATCTCAAATCTATAACCTTCTATCTTATGACACTTGAAAAAGAATAGCAAACTAAACCCAAGCTAAGTAGCAGAATAAAAAAACCAGCAAAAGAACAGAAATAGAATAAAGTAAAAACAATATGGTGTAGAAAAAATAGAATAGAAATAAAAGCAATTGAGTAAGTCAATGAAATTAAAATTTGGGTTTCTTGAAAATGTCAACAAAATTGACAATCCATTAGCTGGACTGACAAGGAAAGAAAGAGAAATTACTAAAATGGGAAATAAAAGAAGGGATATTACTACCAACATTAAAAGAATATAAAGAAGTATAAGGGAATGCTCTGAAAATCTCCCCTATCTCTTTCTCTCTCCCCCTACATGCACACACTCCCTCGTGTACTACAAATAATTATATAACTATACACATGCTAATTGTATATATTCATGCTGCAGGCCCGCAATGTAGATTTTTGATTCAAAAACTCTCAAGTATGGCATGAACATTTATATTTTCTGAAAAGATGAAAGTTTTTGTGACATGTACTCTTTGTTGAGTACTTGGCATATACTAAGTATTAAAAAATATTGTTGACTTACAATTAAATATGTATTAATT